TCAGTCAGTCAGTTATATGCATGATACACACTTAGGCAATCATGTATCTTTCAATACATGACTGAGGAGTAGGGTATTTACATTAGTCGGACTATTGTCCTCATCTTTGTCGCCATATTTGTCACAACGTTTCGGTCGTTGTACGCTCCGGCCTTCTTCAGGTGGTTGGAATTTCGAACTGAACCCTTTATTTTGATCACTGGGGTAGACTGTTCTAGTTCCACGTGCCATGTTTGATGGATGCCAGTTATCAGTTATCTCCTGCTAATTTTCCCTCTGAAAGTTCTCCACTGCCTTAACCAGGAATTGAACTCACCTTCTTTGGGTCTGTCACTGGATCTAGCCAACTTTATCCACTGTGCCATGTGTCCTTGAGGCAGATTTTTCTTGCAGTAGGTTGCCATTTCTTTCTGTGGTAGACCAGTTGCCATCCAAGGCTATAGAACCCGGTATGCCCTTCTATTTACCCATAGCTGGGGGGAGAAGAAGAAGATTCATGTCTTTCCCAAGGGTATTAGCATGTAAGTGAATGTAATGGATATGACTGGAATTCAAATGTGGATCTCCGATTCCTCATTCCAAGTTGTTATCCATTACTCCACCATGCTATTGTTATACTCTGCTGCTATTATATCATTTTTCTGATTCGCTCTACATATCAGCTGGATGTGAGCACTTAGAATGCAAAACTCAAAATAAAAATGTCGTCTTCTGTACAGGGGCAGGGGCTTCAAGCATCACATCCAACCCACAAAACAAATCTCTTCAAAAATCTAAAAGATTTTGCCGCAAAAAAAAAAAGAAGATGAGCATAGGAGCTACCAGACCTGCTTAAAGGAAAGTCCCTCATAAACGACTTACACAGTACCAGGCCAACAGGCCAGCTGTTGACAACAGTATGTTCTCTCTTGTTGTTAGCACCATGATCTGGGTCAATCCAATGTAATGGCAAGCAGATTCCTGACTTAATCCGACTCTTCAAACACAGAATGTGGCTGGTAGGACAGCTGTCATTACCAGCCCTCTCTCACCATCATCATCATTTCTAACAACTCGATCAAGCCTCACTATCACATGCCAGACCTCTCTCGTCACCACCACAATCACATTTTCCTTTGATCTTCCATTCATCCAGAATCCAACAGACATTCCACTCAATCAAGCTTCACTATCTATCACTCATCACCAACACCTGAATGCAGCTAACAGGCCAACTGTTATCACTAGGCCTATCTCAATATCACCACTGTGACTTCTAACACCTTGACAGCTTCACTAGCACACTCCAGGCCTCTCTCTTCATCTCGCCCATGACCCCATTTTCATTTGATCTCGCATTAGACCAGCATTCAACAGAGACATCCACTCCAACCCTCCCTCCTCATTGCAACAATGACCTTAGTCAACAAACCCACCAATACACCTTACCAGGCCTTACCTTGAATTGACCCCTACCAATGACACCACACTCATACTAGACAGATTCATGGCTTCACAAACTCACTCCAGGCCTCTCTTGATGTCACCACTGTGACCTCAGCTATTGGCCTGCTACCACACTCAGTCATAGAAATAACGTACTTACACCTAATTGCTTCCCTTACCAATCAATTAAAGAACTATATATCATCAATTTTTTCATCTTTTTACACAAATATGTATATATTCTGAAAATTGATCAATACACATTGTTGAAATTTTAATCCTTGTTTCTTCTTTCCTTTGCAACCATATGCTCATTATAACACTATCAATACTACAGATATTTATTGCTTAGAGCACTTCCATAAAGTTGGCCATTTGAAGATTATTTTTCTTGGTTCAAAATGTAAATACACAGATTTTCTGATCAACAGAAAATGTACCTTACTGCAGTCAAACTTTTATTAATTTATCCTTATAGAATAAATGTTTTTTGTAAATTTTCAACCTGTCTTCATTCTATATCCTTATATAGAAAATAAATTGGGTGGTATAAATACCACCTTGGTGGATATACAGCCACTTCAATTGATATAATACTAGTTACATTTTAATAAAAAAAATTCTTAATTGTTAAAATAAATAATTAACTTTTTTAGCAATCTGGTTAATCTATAAGGACTCTAACTTTCTCTCTGTTTGTCTTTCTTTCTGTCTCTCTCTATCTATCTCTCTCACTATGTGTATATATATATATATATATATATATATATATATTGTTGTAACCTAGGGAAGGTTGGTAATGAATGATAATACTTAGGACAAGAACAACATATAAGATTCGCCTGTGGTGTGTAGAAGAAGTAGTCAATTGCTAGAAGTGAGTTAAGAGAATTCCACAATGAATCTCCAACTGCAGACCAACATACAGTATTTACTACTGTATTTATCTGAATGAGGACATACTCATTATTGTCTGCAGGTATGCTACAATATATATATATATATATATATATAAAAGTGAACATTGAAGTCAACACTCAGAAGTGACAGGCTGTTTCATGCTAGGCGCAATTGTCAGGCCGTCTGATATATATGTGTTTGTGTGTGTATGTATGGGTGTGATGGATAAATTACACAAAAATGAAAATAACACTGACATTTCATTTAGCTGATATATTTTCCAAAATTGCACAAAAATATCTTGAAATACTAAAGAGTAAATTATTTAATAAAACCGCCATTGGGTTCAACCACAGCCTCCAGACGATTTCAGAATCTCTTGCAACTCTTCTGGATGGTCTCCTTGTTTAACCTGGTGAATGTTGCCATAATCCTTGCCTTCAGTTCATCAAGGAGTCTTCGTCTGTTGTGCAACTGCACCCTACACATAATAATCAAGGGGTTGCAGTCTGGGGAGTTAGGTAATGTGGTCATAGAAATTATCTGACAGCCATGACTGGGTTCTTCTGCTTGTGTGACATAGTGCAGAGTTCTGTTGCCAGACATAGGGTCTTCCAGCAACCACCCTCTTGGCCCAAGACAGCACTACCTCTTCAAGGCACTTGATTTAGGCCTCTGTGTTGAGTCTATGGCCCTCACCAACAAATTTGGGAGTTCTTTTCTTATCAGAACATTCAGAGTGAGGTTTCTGAGCTGCCATACCTTCATAATCACCATTAAACTCATCCAACTCTTTCCGAATCCTCTACACTGTCCTCAGATTGACACCCAAACACTCTGAAATGTTCATATTGGAGCTTCCAGTGCAAATGCATAGCAGTACAGCATGCCGTTTCTAAATTTCTGGCAGAGTGGATTGTGTCATTGCGCTCTTTTTCTCCCAGACAGTGCCCAACTGACCCTACTATACTGTGCTGTTGACAATATCAAATACAAACAATAGACATGTACAGAATTAAAAATATAAAATGGCTACAATTTACACATCATACCCTGTATATTAATTTCAACATGTTTCATTAAATAATATAGACATATTATGTCAATTTATTTTATAATAATCCTTTTAGTTCTCTAATCAGCTTCTTGATGTTAAGTTGAAATTCATCAAGGAAGGTGCCATAGTTATTCCTTACCCAAGTACTTTCAATCTCCTCCGAAATCATCCTCAGGGGTGTATTGCAACACTGTTGTATTGTAACTGTGATTGTGATGGTGATTTTTGAAAACACATGTGAATGCACTTTGTTATAATTGTTTTAAATTTATCATTTGAAGTTATGGTGTTTTTGAAAACAAGCATCCCAATCTAAGGGAGCTAACCAAAAATGGTAGAAATGCAAAATAGCTTTAAACGTTGGTCAAATCTACTTCAAAATTTTGCTGTAACACTTGTAATAAATTTTGTTCAGTGTTGGTTGGTTGCTTTTCATACAGAAGGGCCTCAAGAATTTGAGAATATGTCGGGTGGGGGGAATGTATGACAAATTAGAAAAAGTTTTCATGTGATGCATTTCATTCATTAGGACTTCATCGGAATAAATTTGTTACGTTAGTGTGACTACACATGCACATGAATGAGGGATGCTGGGAATTTAAAAATTTTTTTTGTATATAGATTTTTATATATTTTATTCTTTTTCACTCCCAGTTGACCCTTGCATCTTAGTGGCACTATCCCATTGATTGGGGTCAATTTATTAAAACAATGGGAACTAATTAATATATTTAATACATTACCACAAATAAAGCACCTGACATGGAGCATTTTTGACAAAAATATTTTGATACAAGCTACAATAAAAAAAAAAATTCATCCCCATATTTGATGAATTTGCTTTTTTCTTCTCTTCTATGTGCTCTGTCTCTTCAGGATGTGGACAATAATGGATCTCCACAACTTCCTTCCCTTTGTTGCTTAGTAAATTTTGATTTTGGCTATCTCTCCTAATCCCGGTTTTGACAACCAAATACCCAAACTAGTTAGGTATGTTACCCACTGCTTTCCTCAGTCTCTCTTGCCTTCAGTATATTCTGTGAGTGTCAAATTCTCCAAGCCCTAGAAATGACAATTTAATCTGTTTTGAGTCATAGATGACTGCAAGTATGTTTTTATAAGCTTTGATTTTGGAAGATCCCAAACACATGACATAGCGGCATGATGGTGCTCCGAGTGACTGTCCAAGTTGCCAGTACCTTGAGCCGGCCTTGGTTCCTACCAAGCACTATCACCCTCTCAGGAGGGGACTAGGGTGTCTGAAACATCCCTAAAAGAGAAAGAACCAAGAAGGCTTCAGTAATTTTTATCCATTGTCTATGCATGTGCTTTAAACTCCGTCTTATGCCACATTCACATTGTATGGAAAAATCCTCTACTACTAAACGGTCTCATTGACTTTTGAGTAGGAAGCGTTTTTTTGTCTAAGTTGTTGTGGATTACTAAGGTTAGTTACTGGCACAAAGAAATTAATGTATCAACATGGTGGACTGTAGTTCAATGTTGGAGCTTTTCTGTTAAGCATATGTATGAAAAGTGAAAAGCGAGCTAATTCAAGTTAATCATGCCTCTAGAGTGTGTTCGTCTGTAACTGGTTGGGTGGTTAAAAATTAATATAATGTGCTCAAGTCCCAGGGAGCTGCCCCCACCAGTGATGGTCATAGGGTTGCTGGCACCCCAGGCAAGCTGAACTTCGGCACCCTTAGAAATATAATTTTTTTAAAATTTCCCCAAGGAGAAAAACTGTAAATGTAGAATAATAAGTTTATTCCAATGTACAACTTAATACAAACTAAAGAAAACATTTATTATCCTCCCTAAAACATTTTTTCTAGACTTTAAATCTGACCAGGGGTGGTAGCACCTGTTAGGGTCCCAGCTATGGGCAAATAGTTAAGCCCCAAACTGTGGTCAAAATACTATGAAAGTCTAAAAATAGGTTTTAATACTATCAATAGATTTTTGTAAAAAATTATTACCAGCAATGAATTTTTGAAGGAAATAATTATTACCAGCAGTACATTTTTGGGAAAAAATATTACCAGCAATAAAAATCTTGTTGGCATTAAATAACCCATTGAGGTTGATATGCTGTAAAACAAATCAAACCAATCAAAAATTGGCAGCAAGAAGTTATCTAATGTTTCTATGTATTTGTAGGCATGAGAACTCAATACTTTAATTGTTAAATAGTAGATGTCATCAATTGATGTTTCTCTAGAGATCAGCAAATATCATTGAGTTGAAAGTCTATACTAAATTTCACCCGATAACCCATTGAGGTTGAAAGACTTTACTAAATATCATTGAGTTGAAAGTCTTTATTAAATTTCACCCAATACAAGTTTTAAGAATCCTTCAATGTAGAGGATTACAGCTGAAATGTTCATAATGAATGGGTGTGAGATATGAGTGGAAGAAGTGGTGGGAAGTGAATATTATAAGGTTGAGGAGAATAGATGACCAGTGACCCTTGACTTGAAGAGGTCAAGATTAAAGTGCTCAGGGAAGCACCCAAATAGGAGACTATTCTGTAAAGGAGCATTTTTGAGAATTTTCTCCTTAAAAGTCGAATACGTAGGAAATGAAGATGACTTTGCGGATGTAGCATGGCATATTTTAGTATTAGGTTGTTTGGGAAAATAATATCCAATTTTAGAATCAACTTTTATTCCTGAATTAATATATTTAAGGTGTTTAAATGAATCAAAATAGAAACCTCGAACCTCTATATATTTGTGCCATCAAATTGCAAGGTTATTTATGCCTTTATGATAAAACTCAAAAATTTTGAATGCCAAGAAATCTTTGAATGCAGTTTTTGCATCTTCTATGCAGTGGAATGTCTTTTGGCTTTAAAAATTATCAAGGTGTTTGAAAAGTGGTAGACAGTGAATGGGAGATCAGTGGAATATGGCAGATATAGCAAAGTCTTGAATCCCAAGTCGGTGAGCTTCTACAGTGTCATCCTGTCAACATCCTGACTAGGTATTGTCATGAAACAGGGCAATGCCAATCAATGACTCTTCTATTGTTCTCGCTCCTTAGTAAAATTTCTGCTTTCTAATTATTCCACGCCTAGTAACCACATGTGTCTTAGTGGCTTTACTACCTTGCTTGGGATGAATTAGATTAAAAAAAGTTTACAATCAAAATAGAAACCTTGAACATCTATAGATTTTTGTCATCAAGTTACAAGATTATTTATATCTTTATCATAAAACTCTAAAGGTTTGGACACTGAGAAATCTTTGAATGCAGTTTTTGCATCTTCTTTGCAGCAGAATGTCTTTTTTTCACTTCATGTAAGGCAATAAAGCCACTAAGACACAAAGGTTTACTGGGTATGAGAGAATTAGAAAATGGAAGCAGGAGTGAGAACAATAGAAGAGTAATCTGGAAGACAACAGATAATCATTGACATTACATTTAAATTTTTGAAGAACAAACTTGTCTGGAAAGCAAGAAGCTTTGCCTTAAAAATTGTCAAGATCATTAAAAAGTGGTAGTCAGTGGCTGAGAGATCAGGGGGATATAGTGGGTGTGGCAAAGTCTTGTGAGCTTCTGCAGTGTCTTCCTGGCAATATATTTCTGAGCATTGTCATAAATCAAAATTGGTGTAATTTCGGTTTTGGAAAGTTTTTGTGTTCTTTGTCATGAACAAGTCATTGAGCTGATCATTTGTGGTTGTCATAAAGGATCCATTTCTCATCACAAGTCATTATTCAATCAAGTAAGGGATCATTCGAATTTCATAGATGCGGCATTGAGCACATTTCAAAACATCAAACTCTAACTTTCACTGAGTCCATGTCCAACTCATTTATTTTCTTCACCTTGAAAATTTTCTTGAGATGGTTCAATATTGCTGAAATGCTGATACCCATTATCTGAGACATTTCTCTGACATGGGTTTTGTTTGACTAGTGCTTTCAGATGTTGATTGTCAATTGCAGATGGACATCCTCTACCACCTTGATCTTCAAGACTCGTATCCCCACTGCTGAAATTCAGAAACCAGCACCATACCCTCCCATCACAAATGGATCTTTCATCCCATGCTCTTTTAATGTTGACAGTTGTTTGAGAAGCATTAAGACCAAGCTTGAACTCATGCAAAAATACATCTCTTCTTTTTTTCATGTTCAAGATGATTGGTATATGGTTTCAAATTCTAAAAGAGATTGGTATAAATAAGTGTTATACTGTACCTATGGACTATAATGGGTATATTTCAATCCTTATAGATACAGTGGAATATACTGTATGTCGATTCACTGTGGGATTTCACTTGTGATTCACCTTGATTCACTTCTAGCTCAACACTAGCAGTTGATTACTTACTACACACCAATAGCGAATCTTGTATGTTGTTTCTGTTATAAATATTATCGTTCCATTTCCAACCTTCATTTTAGTTATTCTTATTCAGTAACCTTTTCCTAGATTACAATAACACTTTTATTAATTGATTCAATATATTCTTTCCCCTTCATGTCAGCTGAAAAAATTAGTTTGAGAAGGTGCAATGTCACTCTCCTGGAGGTTAGCATCAGCCATACAGATGGAAGGTAAAAAGGGTTCTTTTAGATGATTCAAAGATTGCAGTGACATTAATATTAACAAGCCACTCCTTGCCCCATTTAACAACAGTTTGTTGGTCATTTTTTAGATCAGCTACCAACTTGACATTATCAAACTGATCAGACTTACTATTACTGGGGTATCTGCATATCTTCTTTCCTTTCTCTGTCTTCATGTGTCTCTTTCTTCCTTCCTCTATCTCTTCACACATCTCTTTCTTCCTTCTCTCTCTCTCTCTCTCTTCACACATCTTTCTTCCTTCTCTTACTCTTTTCACATCTTTCTTCCTTCCTTTTGTCACCCATCTCTTTTCTTTCCTTTCTCCCCAGTTTAATCTTTCTTCTTTCCTTTCTCCTCTTTCTCTCCTCACACATCTCCATATTCCTTCCTCTCTCTCTTTTCCTTCTTTCTTTAGTTTATTGTTTAACTCATCTCTTGCATCTCTCTTTTCATATATATCTTCTTTCCATCCCCTCTCTTTTCATAGATCTCCTTTCTTCCTTCCTTTGTCTTTTTAATTTTTCTTTTTTTTTTTTCCCTTTCTCCTTTCACTTCTCTTTTTGCATATCACATTCTTTCTTCCTTTCTCTATCCTTCCATCACTTCTCTCTTTTTTCCTCTCTCTTTTCACATCTCTTTTTATCTTTCCGTCACTCCTCTCCTTTTTCACATCTCTTTTTTCCTTTCTCTTTCTATCCTTCCATTTATCCTTTCTTTTTTCCTCTCACTCTTCACATCTCTTTCTTTCTTCCTCTTTCTATCTTTACATCTCTCCTCTCTCATTTTTCCTCTTTTCCTCTCTCAGTTCACATTTCTTTCTTCCTTCCTTTTTCTATCCTTCCATTTATCCTTTCTTTTTTCCTCTCTCTCTTCACATCTCTTTCTTTCTTCCTCTTTCTATCTTTCCATCTCTCTTCTCTCATTTTTCCTCTTTTCCTCTCTCAGTTCACATTTCTTTCTTCCTTCCTTTTTCTATCCTTCCATTTATCCTTTCTTTTTTCCTCTCTCTTTTCACATCTCTTTCTTTTCTTTCCTCTTTCTATCTTTCCATCTCATTTTCTTTCTCATTTTTCCTCTTTTCCTCTCTCAGTTCACATTTCTTTCTTCCTTCCTTTTTCTATCCTTCCATTTATCCTTTCTTTTTTCCTCTCTCTTTTCACATCTCTTTCTTTCTTCCTCTTTCTATCTTTACATCTCTCCTCTCTCATTTTTCCTATTTTCCTCTCTCAGTTCACATCTCTTTCTTCCTTCCTTTTTCTATCCTTCCATTTATCCTTTCTTTTTTCCTCTCTCTTTTAACATCTCTTTTTTTCCTTCCGCTTTCTCTTTTCACATCTCTTTATTACTTCCTCTCTCTCTCTCTCTTTTCATACATCTCTTCTTTATTTGCTCTTTCACACATTTCTTTCTTTCTTCCTTTATTCATATCATTCCTTTCTTTATTCCCTCCCCTTTCTCTTTCTCTCTTTTCCTCTTTCAGCAATCTACTTCATTGAATTTGAAGCATCCATCTTTATACTTCTTTGTCTTGGACATCTTGACTTCTTTTTATTTTTAACACATTTTCCTCTCCCCTCTTTCTACTTTTATTTATCTGTTTTCATCTCCTATCATCTCAACCACATTGTACTAATTCAACTAAACATTCACTCCCCTCTCCTCCCCACCCCCTCCATTACTTAATGTAGACTACTTTTTAGAGGCAGAAACTTGGTAGGTCACATGGTCAAGTAGCTCATGAATATTCATAAGTAATACATATTCATGAGCTGAACATTGCTAATGCAGACATTTTCTTGTTTTATGAGAAAAACAAGCAGAAATTGTTAGGTTCTTTGTACACCATTGACTTTGAAGTTCCAGCCTCATTTCATGAAGACTTTTGTTGTCTAACTTGTAAACTCAAGATGAAACCCAGGAACTGTTCCTTCAGTCTCAGGCTACTCTTTCTGTCCTTCTGTAATAAATGTCAGTTCATGTACTTGTAAAATTTGCCTTTTAGAGCTTTGGTAAGTAGGGATGTTTAGTCCAAACCTAGAGGTGGTTACCAAGGTCTTTTATAGCTCTAGTAGTGTTTATGAAGTTGCAACATTCACAAGTATGCATGGTTATCAGCACCAAAAGTGCAATCAGTGGGACAGGTTCAAAATTCAACAAGATCTATTGCATTCACTCTATTGAATTTGCACTAATGACCTTGGGAAAGACACAAATCCATCTCTTTTCCTCTCTAGCTATGGGTTAAATTGCAGGATACGCTGAAATGTCTAGCCTTGGATGGCAGTCAGTCAAATAGAAAAACTACTTCAAATTTAAAACTGTGGCGAGTGTAATTGAAAAACACTTTCTCAGGAAATCATGATGACAAAGAGACATTCTTGTTCTATGTGTGTTGTCCCTTCAGGACATAGGTGATCATGGCTCTCCACAATTTCTTGTTATTTGTAGCTACAAAAAATAACTTTGGCTTTTTTTTAATCTCTCCTAAATCTTGTTCAAACTCACTAAGTATGTTACGCAATGTTTTCCCATGACCCTCTTGTCTTTAATCTGTCCTGTGAGTATCAGATTTTCCAAGAACTCTTTCCTCATTATTTGCCCCAGAAATTTCAATTGCCTCTTCTTGATGTTAAGTATAAGTTTCCTTTTTGTTTCCATTTTTTTCTAAAACTTTATTGTTGCTCCCATGTTCAGTCCATGGTTTCCTCAGCATCCTTCTGTTGCAGGTGGTTTGTTGTTAGTATAGGTTTTTGATTATTCAATATCCTTCCCAGATATGTGAAGGTTATCTAGGAGTTCCGAAAACTCTAGTATTTAAAAAAAAATACACAATATTCAATTGACAACTCTGAATTCAAAACCATGGCGAACCACTCAACTGTCTTTCCATGAAAGTAATGGTAATTCACTGATGATAAAAAGTAGCAGGAACTGTGGAGAGCCTTGATACCCTATGCCCTGAAGGGACATAGCATTAAAAGAAAAAAAAAACTACAAAATGTTCAGTGGACATCACTGAATTCAATTGGAAAAATTAATGAGAAACAACTTTGCTATCTTCGACATTAAGTCATAACAATTTGCTGATAATAAAAGAAGTGGGAACTCTGGAGAACTGTGATAATAGATGCATTGAAGGGATATAGCATTAACAAAAAAAATCATATTTGATATTAAATTGTTTTTAGAGAGACTAAAATATAGGAAATTTCTTTGTTCCTGAAGTGATGATATATCTCACATGTCTTCGTCTTGAGTTTTCTTGGCATTTTAATTGGATTTTGATTCATTGATTGATTCATTTGTTTTTTATGGTTTATCAATCTTTTGGAGGTTATTTGATGCAAGAAAATATTTTTTACTTTGCGAGAATTGTTTCTTTAGAGATAATAATAATAATTTCTTGATACGTGTTCTACCATAGATTCATACCTTTCCCCAAGCGCATAAGTGAATATAACAAATTCAACTGGAATTGAAACTCAGCTCTCTGATTTCTAATTCCATGCCAATATTCATTACACAACCAACACATCCATGCTTACAGCACTTGGTATTCCCAAGTGGTCACCCATCTAAGTACTAACCAGGCTTGATGTTGCTGAACTTTCATGATCGTGTGAGAACCTGTGTTTCAATGTGATATGACTATCAGTTGGATTCTGATTCAAAATTAGAAGATGATAATGAAACCAAAATAAGCACCGATTATCCTGGAGTTGTTGACAAGAACTACCATGGCTCAAAGCTATTCAGGTGACAAAGTTAATGAAACTCGGAGTTCTTTTAAGTTTTTTTTAATACTTTTTGATCAAGTAAAGAGTGTTCCAATAACTTGGACCAATTTTAAATGTGAATTAATCTTAAGTGTCTAATGATTTTTTTTCTTTTTCTTTCAGATTTAACAACTTAAGTCTTTGGCAATTTCAACCATGGAAAGATTAACAATCAAACACTGTGTTAAAGTTTCAAGAGTACAACTGTTCGTAAATTCAAACAAACTGGGTTGGTGGCAGATGTGAAAACATCATTGCATGCTTGTTTACGCCGTTCAGCTGAAAACATTGCTGCAGTGCACGAGAATGTGGCCAATTTGAACGCAGGAATTGAACCTCTCCACAACAACATTACATCGTTTCTAATTGCATGCTTGGATGGTTGATTATGTTGACCAAAAAAATCACAAAGTGCGCAAAATGCATTTCTGTTTGAACATCCATTTTCATAATCAGCTTTGATAACTTTAACACATTGTTTGACTGTTAATCTTTCTATGATTGAAATTGCCAAAGACTTAAATTGTTAAATTGGAAAGAAAAAGAAAAGAAATCATTAGACACTTAAACTTAATTCACATTTAAAATCAGTTATTGGAACATCCTTTATTATGCAAATAAAGTATGTCACAAAGAACTATTGCAACTGTTAAGCTTGGTTTATTTTGGGAAGGATCTTAGAATAATCCAGAAGCTATACTGGTAGCAAACTGCCTACATATGGATAGAAAATGAATTTAGTAAATATACAAAAATAGAAAGGGGTGTAAGACAAGGATATATCTTCTCAAGCAAACTTATTCAATCTATACAGTGAAGTGATTCTGAGAAAACTAGAAGTCCTACCACAGTCTTAACAACATAAGGTATGCATATGACAATGTTAAGAGCAGATACACAAAAAAACTACTACAGAAATTAGTGAAGGAAAATGAGAAGAAAGGATTAAATGTCAATTGCTAGAAGGTAGAAATCTTGGTTGTTAGCAAAAGGGACAGTCCAACATGAAAATTACAAATTAGGGATGCCAAAATCAAGCAAGTACAACAATTTACATATCTGTGAGGTGTTTTAACAGATGACGGAAAGTGAGATTGGAATATGAAGATGCAATGGATAACAAAAATGCCTTCACAAATATGAGTAAAGTATTAGGAAACATGAAAATTTTATTAGAAACAACGAAAAGAGTGTGGAACTATTATGTAATATTGGTCCTCCTATATGGCAGTGAATGCTTGAGAATCTCCTCACAGATGAAGAAGAGACTTGAAGCAGCAGAATACTAAAGATTGAACATGTGAACCACAATAAAGTTCTAGGGACAATGGAAATGAAAAGGACACTTATAAATAACATGAGAAAGACATAGTTGAAATTTCTAGGGCGCATAATAAGGAAAGAGTGTTTGGGGAATTTAACACTCACAGGAGAGATTGAAGGCAAGAGGGACAGTGAAAAACAGCACATAACTTACCTAACAAACTTGTGTAAATGGTTCACAGAACAGGTTTTAGTAGAGATAGCAAAAAGACAAAATTTATTAAGAGCAAGAAATATTAGGAAGTTGTGAAGATCCATGATTGTCAACAACCTGAAGGGACTTAGCACATAGAAGAAGATTGTACCTCTTACACATTAAGTTATTTCAAACAATTTCCTCGTCTTTATTGTCTTAGTCCTGGGTATGATGATAAACTACATCCAGCTGCAAGGCTTCTGATCAAGAGATTGGAGGTTTTGAGGAGCTTGGAACCACCTCTTAATTGCTGTTGTTCCAAAGTCCACTTGGGGTGGTAGCACCTTTTAGGGTCCCAGCTATTGGCAAATAGTCAACCCACAAATAAAGACAAAACCCTATGAAAGTATAAAAATATTTTTTCATAATAAAATACCAGCAATACATTTTATATAATAAAACAACCAACAATACCTATTTATAGTAAAATTATCCACAATATCTATTTATAGTAAAATTATCCACAATATCTATTTATAGTAAAATTATCCACAATATCTATTCATAGTAAAATTACAAACAGTATGCATTATAGTAAAATAACCAACAATACATTTTATCTGTAGTTGAAGGCATACAATTGCATTCAAAATATATTTAGTTGAAGCCATAAAATTGTGTTAAAAATATTTAGATTTTGGCATTAAATAACCCATGGAGGTGTTAATATGCCACTGAAGAAAATCAGCCAACCAACCACTTTTATCCAAAAATTTGAGCTGCTCTCCCTTACAGCATTCCTATGATACATGTCACACTTGATAACCTTTCAGGATTGTTGAATGTTAAAGGAAATTCCATCCAAAGGTATTTGTTGTCCTATGTCCTTTCTAGAAAATTTCTGAACTTTTAACAATCAATTTATCTTTTTTTATATTGTTCTGCTTCTTCACTGAGCCATTTTTGGCACTTCTTTTATGTGCCATGACCCTTCAGGACATGAGCAATCATGACTCTCCACAACTTCCTAACCTTTGTAGCTCTAAGTACTCTTTGTCCTCTTACTATCCTTTCCAATCCATGTTTACAAGCTCATTAGATACGTTACTCCCTGTCTCCTTCTGTTCCTCTTACCATCAATATGTCCTGTGAATGTCAAATTCTCCAAGCCCTCTTTCCTCATTATATATCCTAGAAATTTCAGCAGTCTTTTTCTGATTCTAAGGACAATTATTTTTGTTTCAATTTTCTTTAAAACTTCTACATTGTCAGCTGCTTCATCCACAGTATTCACAGTATCCTCCTGTAGAACCATATCTCTGTTTTTAAGTTTTTTTCTTCTTCTATGGGGAAATTGTACAGCATTCACAGCCATATAGAAGCATTGATATTACATAATTCCTGGTCTGCTATCTATCTACACACATTGATTAGGTAGGTTACTCTTTGTCCGTCTTGCCTTCAATACGTCCTGTGAGTGTCAAATTCTCTGAACCCTCTTTCCTCATTATGTATCTCAGAACTTTCAGCAGTCTCCTTCTGATTCTAAGAACAAGTATCCTTTTTGTTTCCATTTTACCTAAAATTTCTGCGTTGCTCAGCTGCTCCATTCACTCTCAGCATCCTTTTGTGGAACCATATCTCTGCTGTCTTAAGTCTCCTCTTCATCTGTGAGGAAATTGTTCAGCATTCACTGCCATATATGAGGATTGATATTACATGGCAGTACAACACTATTTACTTTGCTTCTAATTAAATTTTCTGGTATCTTAATATTTCGTTTAGCTTTTCGAAGACATCTTTTGCTATTCCAATGCACCTTCAGATTTGTGTCTCATATTTTCCGTTGTCTATTATAACACTTCACATATAAATAAATTTAATTATTCACTTGTTTCTGATGTTTCCAATTCATAGCCCACATCTTGGGTTGTCCATCACATTCTATATATTCTCAGCATCCTTTGTTGCCTCTTCTTCATCCGTGAGGAGATTGTCCAGCATTCACTGCCATATTTGAAGGTTGTCATTGCATAACAATTCAGCAGTCTTCTTTGTTTCTAATGAAATTTTTCTGTTTCTTAAATAAGAAATGAATTTGTATCTCTTGGAGAACCAGATCTGATCTATCAGTGCTATCTACTAGTTCACGTAATACTTAATTTGAATATGAGGTAAGGTCAGTGAGTTTAGTTTTGACCAATGGTCGATGTGTCTGGCCATTTTCTCTGCTCTTCCCATGTTTATAAATTAAACTAACCTGCATTAACACCTTTCCATGTGCTTTTTCTAGAAATATTTTCACAGTAATTTTTCTGATGGGCTTCTCTCTTTCCAGCTTCCTACTTTCTTTCAACTATGATCATCAAAAATTAAAGTACAATGGAGAGCCACGATCGCCTACATCCTGAGAACATAAAGAAGAAGCTATAGAAAATGAATCAATCATGTCGATGAGAAAATGACTGAATTCGAGAACATATGCTATTCATTTTTATTGTTGCTGTTGCTGGAACTTTACAAGTAATGTGGTTTTTATTATTTCTCATTGTAATTTTGTTGTGCTGACTTAGTCATATTAGTGCATGAACTATTGTTTGCTGACTTGAGGTCTTGAGTGATTTAGTTATCCTGAGCAAAGGAGTAGAGATATTAGATAATGAACATATGGGAGAGTGGTTAATCAGGTTGGAACCTGATAGAAAAACTGTCTAAAAACATTTATTGAAACCTATAAAATACTTATGAGGAAGGCATTAGATACCTAAAATGAACCAAGTAAGATTCAGTCTAATCCAGTGCAACTAAAATTCCTTTCTTAGTCCCACAGCCCCAATAAAGTTATGATGATCTGATTAATGTTTTTTAAAATTCTCCAAAAACCTAAATGAAATTGGGAAATGTCATTTTAAAACCTTATCTTGTAAATATGCATAGAAAGCTTACCAAAATGTCTGGTCTTGATTGATTTGTTTTTTTACAGTTTATCAACATATTGCAGGTTATTTAAAGCCAGAAAATATTTTTAGATTGTAAGAATTGTTTTTTGAGATAATAATGATTTAGTGATACAAGACTTACTAATTAACCCATATCTGGGGTGAGAAAAGGTGTATTCATCCCTTTCCCAAGTATATTTGCACATAAGTGAATATTACAAATCTGACTGGAATTGGAACTTGGCTCTCTGATTACCAATTTCAAGCCATTATCCATTACACCACCTGCACATCCAAGCTTATAGCACCTGGTTTTCTCAAGCAGTTACCCAACTTTCGAGGTATGGGCCACAATGTTAATAGAAAGTTCTTTGTTTAACAAAGAGAGTCTTTGTATGGATGCCTAACTGATCAAAGTCCCCATTCGGGCCATTATACCTCTATGTGCACACACATGCCACTTAGTTTACACGAGG